TATCTAACTATAGATCTGTCCAAGTAGTACTTTCATTGATACGACTGTGTCCAGATAAGCCACCCTGTTTTTGACCATTGTGAAATATCATTGAAAATGTGGAGTTTTTACAATTATTATTATCATATTTTTGTATAACAATCATGAAAAATCTTTAGTTAGGTCAGATGAGGGTAGCTATATAATCATTAATTCTCATGTAGTCTTCTAGTTATTTTTACTTGTTTTTCTATTCGTTCATTTTAATTCTGATATTTGTAGATCCATGGGGGTTCATGTATGATGTAATTTTTTTGTAGGTACGGAACAACTCAGGATTGAGGCAAAAGAGGCAAAGTTTCGATCTTGATGAGCTATTAGGAAGTTCGTCTCCCTGGTCTCCTGTCACTAGTCCTGGTCAGAATTATGGGGAGGATGATAGAGAAACAGGCTTAGGTGAGTGGGTAGATAAGGTCATGGTGAACAAGCAAGAAGCTAATGGAGTTCACAACCCTTTAGGACATTGGGAAGCAGACAATGGACACATGTCTGATGTATTTGGTCAGAAATATCTCTCAGATTCTTCCAAATTATACATGGAACCATCATATAATATATTCACAGGAAGCAACCAGTTTGACATTGCTACTAGTGATGATTTGGATGAGCTTGATGCTGGCACTAGTGACTCATCGGAGCCTGATTTGCTTTGGCAATTCAATCATGCCAGACTTACCAACTTAACTAATGGGATGGGCTCAAAGATTCAGAAACCGAATCCAAAGCCAGCAAAGAGCCCAGAACTAAGGTAATGCCTATTGATTTTTTTATGGGTATCTGCTTCTCTCCTTTGTCCTTGTCAACCCTTTTTAAAAAAAAAAATATGTTTCAAAATTCTAACTAGTTGTTCTTCTACAGCCGGAATGTGATTCCTAAATTAGGCCCTTCACAAACACATAAATTGTCAAACGGCATTGGCCCCAACTCTCAACGGAGTGGAAGGCAGGCAATCCCTACTGAAGCTAAACGGAAAACTGGGAATAGAAAATAGAGGGTAGATTGTATGTAGCAGAATTATTATTTTTATTTTTTTATAATTTTTTATTTCTATATCTGATGGTGAGGTGAGTGTGTGAGAGGTGAGGTGTTCCTATAATATAGTTTTTTTTTTTTATTTTCTCTTGAATTCATTTTTTTGTTTATATAAATGTCAATGCAACCATAACTCCAGTTGCTTGTATTTGTTGTTGTCAAGCTTAAGAGAGGTACTCCAATTCTTTGGATTCCACAATATTTTCATTCATATATAAAAGTCTTCTGCATCTTATGAAGCAATGAACTAGTGCACTGTTTTATGGTTTGAAGGGATAATATACTGACAATTTTTGATGAATTGGCATCTGAACTCAATGTTTCTGTTAATTTTTTCTTTCATTCTTTCTGGCAGGCAGTTTGTCTTTGTGTATGCATACATATGAATTCTCCTTTGCTGCGTTATTTATGTTATTAAGCATTTTTCATATATCTGGAATGTCTCTTCTTTATATTTCTGATTGCAGAGGAATGCGTTTGTGTATTTTTCTTCGGCATTGATATAGAAATTGGGCCTTTGGCGTGCTAATTTTCATCTAGTAACGGAGTTGAGAAAAGGGCATATATCCATTCTGATCACTGTTGAAATGATATTGCTTTGCGATCCATTTGTTGACAAAACTGATGTGTTTAGGTTCACTTCACTGTGTTAGGCATGAATAATAATATATAATTGAGGAAGAAAATAATGGTGGATGAGGAAATAAAAATCAATTCTACACTCCACATACGAGATTGAATCAAGAGACTTGCTACACATAATATTAGTGTCACAGGAATTTGGGGATCTTATTCTCAAGCTAAGGTAGCTCTTCAAACAACTTAAAGAAATTGAAAATTCATACCTTCAAATACATGACAACTTAAAGAAATTGAAAATTCACACCTTCAAATACATGACAAAGGAACAGATAATAAAGAAGTAACTCAATAGTAATATACTCGGTTCAAGCATAAACATCAGGGTTTGCTAGGAGGTATTCTTCGACAACCTTGAACATCCCCATGGCCTTGTCCTTTCCAGCATTCATTTCCTCTTCATTGAGCTCAATCTCACCCTTGGCGTGATAGTAGCTTGTGCTTGTCACCTTACTTCCATCACCAATAGCCTCAAACTTAACCTCATAAGAGAGAGATTCAAGCTTGCCGCCCAATGCATCGCCTTCAATCAAAGTGTACTTGCACTCGTAGTTCTCGACATCAAGTGAATCAATCTTGTGCTTCAAGCACTTCATGTGACCCCCTGCAAATAGCACAAATATAACAACCATTTTTATTGTGCTTTTTTTTTTTATAAAATTAAAAAATAAAAAATCACTTGTGTGTACTCTGCTATTAAAATTAGAAATATAGATAAATCTACCTTCAGGGAAGTTAGTTTGCTTGATGCTTCCAACACCACCATCACCTTGAACGTACTCGATGCTCTTGATGGATTGAGGGAGAAGCTTAGGGATGAGATTGTGGGAGTCAAGGATCAAAGCCTTGAACATCCTGCTGGGTGCTACTGTGGTGGTGAACTCTTTGGTAAAAGTAGTTACACCCATTTTTGTTTTTGGCTATTGGAAGAAAGGAAGGAAGAAACAGAGGTGTAGGAAATGAGAATGAGTTGATTGTGGGTATGAAGAAACTGCATTAAGACAATGGGTATTTATAGAATGGGATTAGAGGGCATGTTTTGGCAGATTATGATTCTTTTAGCACTTCACATTTGAATAGCCATAGCCATCCATTGTTGAACTCATTCATAATTGATCAGAGAGGGCCTACTGATATTTGGAAGCTTTTGAAAAGAATAAAAAAAAAAGAACACGTTTAGAAACACTCGGCTCCTATGGTATTTTTGGGTAAGTAATTTGACAAATGGTGTCTTGTAGTTATGGCATTGGTAGCTATAATATAACGAAAAGAGTGATGTACCCATCAGATTGGTGGTTCATGCAGACCTGATTGTATCCACTTGGAGCAATCGAATTGTCAAGAGACATAAGGGCAATTTTGTCTTCCAAAATAGAGGTTCCAACTATTTGTATATATATATTTTTTCATTTTCCAACTTTGTAATTTTTGAGAATTAACCACTAAATTGTAAATACTTATCCTATATTCCACTGAATTGTTATTTTTTCTTAACAATTTCTGACTTCTCTAATGCTATGTTTGATTGAGAGATTTGAGAAGAGATTTAGAAAGGAAAACGGAAAAAAATAAGTGAAATGTGAATAAAATATACCTATATTTCACCTAGTTTAATACACTTTTTTTTTTTTCCCTTTCTAAATTCTTCGCCAAATACCCCAACCAAACACAGCGTAAATGAAACGAACTTAGTAACAAATTTTTCCGGTTCCTATAGCCTATTCTTTTTTTGTTATTATGGAAATTACATTATTTTTAGTTAAGCGTCAAACTTTAAAAATCACTTAAATTCAACACTCCAATTTAAGTGACGATATTTTATTCTCCTATATCCCCTCCATTGACTGGAAAAGAAAATAGTAATGTCGAGTATCATGAAAAAAATATTATGAAATATTCATGAAGATTTTTTATCTTTTAATTAGTGTGTGTGTTTTATTGTATTTAATCTAAGAGTGAAGAATTTTCATGAAACATTTCATGATACTTTTCATCATTTGATTAGAGTGTGGTGTTTTATTATGTATATAATCCAAAAATGGAAACTTTTTATGAAACATTTTATGATATTTTTTTTTTTATGAAGATCATTGCTATTATTTTTTTATATGTAATAACCGTTATTCACGGCTAAAGTAAACGGTCAATTATCTAGAAGGCAGGTTTAAATGGACTAAATGGGTCAAGGGCCACAGAGCGCGATTATTCTACAATGGATGGCTATGTATTGAATATTATATGGCCTACTTGGAGAATTTTTATACTATCCCAACACATTCCTATCTAGTCCCAAGTCTTATATATAATACCCATGTCTTAATTCAGTTCTTCACACCCCACAACCCTCAACTCACTCTCATTCCCATTTCCTACACCAATTCCCTCTCTCCTTTCTATAGCCAAAAAGAGAAATGGGTGTCACTACTTTCACCCAAGAATTCACCACCTCAATTGCACCCAACAGGATGTTCAAGGCTTTGATGCTTGACTCCCACAATCTCATCCCTAAGCTTCTCCCTCAATCCATCAAGAGCATTGAGTACATTCAAGGCGATGGCGGTGTTGGAAGCATCAAGCAAACCAACTTCCATGAAGGTATATAATATAGGTCAATTTATATTTCATGTGCTAAAATGTGAATAGAATTAACAAGACAGTTACAATATTGCTAAAAGAATTGTTTTATGTTTTAAAAAAGAGCCAATAAAATTGGTTGTAATGCTTGTGCTATTTGTAGGGAGTCACATGAAGTGCTTGAAGCACAAGATTGATTCACTTGACATCGAGAACTATGCGTGCAAATATACTTTGATTGAAGGCGATGCCTTGGGTGACAAATTAGAATTTCTCTCTTACGAGGTTAAGTTTGAGGCTATTACTGATGGCGGAAGTAAGGTGACAAGCACAACATATTATCACGCCAAAGGTGACATTGAGCTCAAAGTAGATGAACTAACAGCCGGAAAGGACAAGGCCATGGGGATGTTCAAGGTTGTCGAAGATTACCTGCTTGCAAACCCAGATGTCTATGCTTGAACCAAAATGTGTTACTGTTGAGTTGTTGAGTTGTTTCTTTATTTTCTATTCCTATGCAGTAATTGAAGGTGTGGATTTTTTTTTTGTGTTGTTTGAACTGCTACCTTAAGCTTGAGAATAAGAACTCCACGTTAGTGTGACATTATTAATGTGTGGAGTATAAAACTGAAAGCATGTAAAACAAAAATGAAAACAAGTGTAATAGTAAAGTTGTGCAAGAAATGTTTATTTTCATATCTGTTTCGTGGACAAAATTGGTAATCCTTATATTTTGTCAATTATATTGTTTTGGTGTCTATAATTTTAATTAGTTTGATTTTGATCATTGATTTTAGATTTTGTGTCAATTTAGTTTAACTGATAATGTCGATTAGGGTTTTTAAAGGAAAATGGTCACTGAATTTGTTGAAATTTACTAAGTTGAACAAGTTCACAATTTTACTTATAAAACTATGATACATATCGCCCATGTATGTACTTTTCATTTAAAAAAAACACAAGTAATTTAATCAATTGGATCAAATTGGAACAAAATTATAAATTAAAGGTCAAGATTGAGTCAAATAACATTAACAAAATCAAAATAATACAATGATAAAAATGTAAATACTATCGGCATAATTTTCCCTGTTTAATTTAAACTAAATTCTTGATTCAAATTTAACGGGTTTCATTCATACTAAAAAGATATTCAATATTGAAAAACAAAATTGAAGAATTGCGTCGTGAAGAAAACAAGAACAAATAATTAAATGTCATGTGAAGCCCGCCCGTGGTCTGGGGTGGGCATGATCCAATTAGGCCTGGGCCCAAGCTCAGCCCAGGACCTTGGGCCTGGGCCATCATTTTGAAGCCTACCCCACCCCGCTTACGCTGGCCCGATTAAAGCCCACTCAAAGCCTAGCCCGAGGCCCAATGTCATTTTTGGTGGAGAAAAAAAAATTTGATGAAAAAAAATAAAAAAAAAATGTTCAAGTTCTGTCCAAGCCCAAGCCCATGCCCACCGGCCCGTCCAAGGCCCGAATATCCCCTAGGCCTGGACCCGGGCCTACTTTTCTGGCCCATGGGCCGGGCCGACCTGGTCCGACTTTTGACGAGAGCTTGCGAGGCCCGACATGGGCCGGCCCGAGCTCGGGCCCGAGTGGGCCAAGTCAGGCCAAATTTACGCCCCTCCATGAGATTACTTTTTGTATTTTTTTTTCATAAAAAAAACTAAAAAAATTATTCTAATTCCAAATATATTGAATGTGTATGTGAATTTGTTCACATAGTAGAGAGATAATATATGGTTCCATTGGTCAATTTTGGACCTTCTATGGGACTAATTCATTGATTCAACCAATGGAATAAATAGTATGCTTTGTTTACACTCTGTGAACAAGCTGTTTGATTTTTTTAGTCACCCCTCAATTTATTAATATTATTTGTTGAAATTGTGAGAATTTGTCCACACACAGATTTGCTTCGGAATTGATTATTTTAATTATTTTTTAATTTTTTTATAAAAAAAAATGTGTAAAAAAATAAAGAGTAATATAATAACTTGTAGTGATTTTTTAGTTTTTTTTGTTATTTTAGGCATTGTTTGGGGTGTGATAAAAATAGTCAAAAAATTACTATAAATTGTCACATCGCTTTTTACTTTTCTGTATATATATATATATTTTTTTTTGTAAAAAGTTATAAAGTCAACTAAAAAAATTAATTATCAAATGAATCCTTAATTTTTAAGTTTTCAATTCTTATTTTTGTATTTTTAATATTTTTTAAAAATATTTTAATTATTTTTTTAAACTTTTAGATCCACTTAATCTTAATATACCTAAAAAGTTTTAAAAAAAATTGTACAAAAATCTTTAAAAATTCATTGAATATAACAGAATACGAAAATGTATTAGATTTATATATATTTTTTGTTTTTTTTTGTATTTGGTGGATTATTTTATTTTATTTTTTCATAAATATTATACTTTTTAAATGTATTTTGATTAGGTGTATGTAAAAAATAAAAAAATTGTGAAAAATAATAAAAAAATTCAATGAAAATAAAAAATACGAAAAATAAAAAACTTAATTTTCTAGAACCAAACATTATTATTATTATTATTTTTTTAAAACCAAAGTCACCTTGGCCAAAAAAAAAAGAAAGAAACCAAAGTCACCTATTTTTTATGTTCTTCAATGGGAGACCAACCGCCAACCTATACATATTGTGGAGGGATAAAAATATTGGCCCAAGAACCTATGAGATTAGGCCTAAAAACCAAAAATCGAAGTCCGGCCCAGCAACTTGAAATCATGAAAAGCCCAAACCACTGATGGGTCCAACGAAGAAAGGGACAATGTCACGTGACTAAAGCTTGAACAAAATAGCCTTCTAGAGGATCTGTATAATGCAAGAGAGTCGTCAGATTAATGCATAACAAGTGATGAGGATCATAATAGCCAGAAATAGGTATATAGGCTTAGCTCGTGTAAATATAATGGTCGTCCGATAGATATGATTGGACAAACGAGGCAATTGGTAGGATGTCCCTAAGAAGCTTGACATAATTTGAGCCGAACATAGCATAAATCTAACGGCACAAGATCAAAGCAGCCTGGCCACTTGCCTGACCAAAGTCTGGCGATAATCGGAACCCTTGGATGAAGGTGCCGATCCAACAGACGAGGCCAAAACTACAACACTATAAAAAGGAAAGTAAGTAAAAGCAATAGGTAAGTAGGAGATGGAAAGAAAAAGAAGTATAAAATTTATATCTATAAAACAAATACTATACTGTCGATTTGATGTTTGACTTGATTATCGAAGGATCCTCCCGACCAAATCTGGTCGGGAGAGATCACTGACCAATTGGTTTCTTTTTACAGGAGTACAGGAAGGGACATCTCATCTCACATTCCCTATAGAGAATCTTCTATATACCATATATATATATATATTGTTTGTAATAATAATCAAGATATTTGGAAGAAAAAATAATCGTAAATCCTAATATTGATGAAATAATAAATGGGCAAATTATACTAACAGTTCCTATAGTTTGGGACTCGAGTCACTTTGGTCCCCGATTTTCCACTTGTGACACATTTGACCATGAATTTTGAATATTGTTTTAAATACGGACAATTGAAGATACCATTGCCTAATTTTAAGGGCAAAATCTTCAACTAATTTGACAAAAATAAATGTAAAAAAATATTTTTAAATTTTTAAAAATTATTTCTACCCACCAAAGATAAAATTATGTAAAATTAATAAATCTTTTAGAGATTTATTTATTTATTTTTTTTACCAAATTAAGTTTTATTATGTGTTTGGATGATGATTATGTAATCGGTGGTTGTTAGGATTTTAATGCGTAATTGATATATTTAATATGTGAAATGTTTTTAGTTTTGGATTTTTTGATTTAATGAATTGGTTTAATAATGATATCAAAGTTGTCGCTATAATTGACTTTTGAAAAATAAAAACTAATTTAATGAAAATATAAACAACTATCCATTACATGCTTATTATCCAAACATATAATAAAAATTAATTTGGTAAAATAAATAAATAAATAAATAAAATATTTATTAATTTTACATAATTTTATTTTTAGTGAGTAGAAATAGTTTTTAAAACTTCAAAAATATTTTTTTGACATTTGTTTTTGTCAAATTAGTTTATATTTTATTAAATTGATGATTTTGCCCTTGAAATTAAGTAATAATATCTTCAATTGTCTTTATTTGGAACAAAATTCAAAATTCATGGTCAAATGTATCACAATTGAAAAGTCAGAAGCCAAAATGACATAAGTCACAAACAATAGGGACCATTAATGTAATTCGCCCAACAATAAACTTGAAAAGAAGATTGTTTCCTTGAAGCAAAATTGAGGATGTCACAATCCAAAGATAATATTTCGGTTGGTAACTTTTTCAGTACGACTGTGACACAGAGCACTAGGTGTAGAGCTCTAAATTGAGCTCTACACAGCTGGCAGGGGTAAAAAAAATAAAAAATAAAAAATAAAAAAAGGGAAAAAAGACAAATCATCATGAAAAAAGACAAATTAGAGTTTCCTTAGAGCTCCTAATTTAGGACTCTTAAATATGTTTGTTTTCAGTATTGGGTTGTTCATGATTTGTATTCATGATTACTATTATTCTGCTTAGCTCTAAATTTTATAGATTGTTTCAATATATTTTTTTTGAGTGAATTGTTTTAAGAGCAATGGTAGAGAGCCACAAAAAATGTGGCTCAAATGGCTCAAAACTGCCAAAACGACATCGTTTTGGGGGCAAAACGACGCAAAACGACGTCGTTTTGACAGTTTTGAGCCATTTAAGCCACACTTTTTGTGGCCCTCAAACATTTTTCTTGTTTCAATACATTAAACCCATGTTTTCTTTGTTGTGATTGTTGTGACAGCTGCTACTCTAGAAGTCATTGTACCTTCACTGATCGTTGGTCGATTTATTGGGAAAGGGTACTCTCTTTATTTTTTATTTTATTTCATTTTATCCTTGACTGAAGCTTATATAGTGATGGATTGTTGAACACATCAAAAATAAATTTTAAACTATACTAAATTCTTTTAGAATAATGGCAAGTCTAGGTATCGATCCACAGGGATAATTGTGAAATTAAACTAATTTAATTGTTAAATTTCTAAATTAATTTTGATAAAAAGATTGATTGTTCATAGCCTAAATTAATAATAAATAAATTAAGCTAAGGAATTAAATTATCAATAATAAATGAAATTGGGTTTACTGAATTGGGGGAAAAACTAGAGCAAAGAGTCCACCACTAGCCACGTAATTAGGGTTTCCAATTGAAATCAATTATGCTATGGTTTGAATAGATTAATGCTTCGCAACTACAAGCTCAAAACATTTAACAAGAAGATCATCACATTCAATGTACGAGCACGAACCATCTCAAGTAATACGAATTGTTCACTCTAAACTAAGGTAGTGATACGACTTGTTCCTCGTAGCATGATTCGTCTCATACCTTGAATGTGAAGGAATAGAAAACTCATGTATGGATAACATTCAACAATCACAGAAAGTCAAATATTCGAAGAAATAATGAAAAATATATAAAAGAAATTTTTAAATCACCATACAAATGTTCAAACCTTTACATAATTAAAAATAAAAAAGAAAACAAAATAATTACATGGCTAGGGTTTCATCAAAACCCTAGAAAATGAGACTAGTCACTCATGGAGGAGTGGAAGGAGGTAGATGGAGA